ATGTTCGAAAATTTGATAAGTTGATAATTTTTAAATTTAAAAATTCGATAAATTGATTATTTAAAAATTTAAAATTTGTAAATTTGTAAATTTGAAAATTTGAACATTTGATAAATTGATAAATTGAGAATTTGATAAATTGATAAATTGAGAATGTGATAAATTGGAAATTTGGAAGTTTGAATGTTTGAAAGTTTGGTAGTTTGGTAATTTGGAAGTTTGAAAATTTGATGAATTGATAATTTTTAAATTTTTAAATGTTGGATGAGTTAACTCGTAACTAACGTAATTAACTTCGTCTCTCGTGAAGATCAGTTGATCTCGGTGACAACGGGTTAACTGAGGTGAAGGGATGAAATTTCGAGGAAACGAAATGAAAGATATAGTCTGCCTCGGTTTTTGTAGCGACTTAAGCTCGTAATTGAACATTTCTTACGTAGTGAGGACAGGCTGATGAAGACTGATTTATTTAAAAAAGTAGAAGCGACGGAAGAATGGAAATTTCGAAAATTATTCACGTCAGAGATATAGAATAATGTACGTACGTACAGTTATTTAAAGAAATAAAATTGGTATGTCCTAAATACTCTTGATAAACATGAAAATCCCATCAATAATTTAAGTACAAAATGCAGAATGTGCTACGAGAGCTTTTAAATTCTAATGAGGCACTACTAACATTTAAACTGTGAATCTTTATGCAAATGCATGCTTTTATAGACCATTATTTCAATGTAGAACCATCTAAACGAGCGAAATTTTAAGTAGGATCATTTAAATATGTAAATATTTCATAGACAGAAAAAGTGTGTTATTCCTTCAACTTTCGTAAAAAAATATTTAAATGTTATAGGTGTACATTACGAACTTTATGTTCATCCCAGTAAAGAATGACACAGTTACATTCAACCTTTCAGAGAACGAAACACGAAACCGTCCGAACTGGCAGGAGGCTCGAAAAAACACTCCGAAGAAACTTCGAATATTCAAAAGTAAACCTCGCATGCGTTCCGTTAAAAGGCAATATCCGAAGCTTCAGTCTCAATTCGATCGGCAGATATTAAATTACATTCCGAGATTAAAGGGAGTAAATACAGAAAGCTTCCCGACAAATTGAAACGAAGAAGTTCTGAAACACTACAGGCGCAAACCTCCTACAGAAAACTGAATCAATAAGACAGTCACCCTTTTCTTTCCCTTCGCCATCCGTCAGATTAAAGTTTCCTCAACCACTCGGCCAGGCATCTCTCCATTATCTTAATTAATCTACTACTCGCGTCGCAGCATACATAAACCAAATTCGAATTTCAAACGAAACATTACCCCGAACGCAATCACAGCGAATCCGTTCCAATATCGTCAAACATTCATAGTCGTCGCGAAACAAATCCCTCCGTTATAATCGTTATCCGCAGCATTCAAACATCGTCACCCAAAACAGCCGCTTAACAAATGGAACAACGTAAAAATACTCGCGATCGATCTCCGCGGGCGAGCGAGCTCGTTTTCGATTTTTCAGAAGCTCGCAGCCCCTGCGGCTCGATGAAATTTTCATATCGCCGCGCCGAGCGCCGGTCATCGGGCGTGCAATATTTAAACGGTCACTCGCGAAACTCGAAATGGGAATAGCGGAATCGAGCGTGGAACCAGCAAACGGTTCGGTTAATAATCATTCGCCCGGCACGGGCATTAAATCATCCCGAATTCGGTCGCGGGGGGCGGCTCGGGGAGAGGAGGGGGCTGAAACCCGACACGGACGATACCGATACCGGAGCGAGACGCGGCAGCGTCTCTCGTCGATGAGTTAATTATTTGCCGGGAGGATTATACGACGTGCAACCGCGTCCTAGCCGAGGATAAACGACGCACTTAACGAGACGTTAATTACGAGGTTAAATCGCCGGCCGTGAATGCTCCGGCTCGATCAATCCGCGATGGATCGAGCTCTCGGGTCCTTTCAGCGAATATTCGAGACGGTTTGTACATCGATTCTCGATAATTAGACGCGCATGCTAATCCCGGTTATTGTACAGTAGAAAACCGATCGTCAATAGAAAACGAGTTAGACGTATCGAAGAAACGAACGATCGAATTCTCCGGTTCCGAAGCTTGCCCGAGACGGAAGTGGAAACTGCGTGCCATGCACAGACACTTTAGATCTGTATACGCAGCAGTCGGTTAATTTTCGTTGGAATTATTTTATTGCCTTCGGATTGAATCCTTTGTGTAAATATTTGATTGTCAGTGTTTTTGAGGTATATGAAGATTCGTGGAAAGGGGAGAGGTGAAATAAAGGAATCCGTTTCGAATCTGTTCAATGTATCTGATAATTTAATCATCTTCGGTCGAGATTCATTTTTAAACCGTCCACGTTCCTGTGACCCCAAACGTTTCTAAATGAGCACTCTTCGTTGATGAAGATCCAATTCGGGAAATATTACTTTCCATTAAGGAAAACCCAGTTCGGTAAGAGATCGACGAACCGATTCGACGGGAATGTTTCTTTCGTTCCAATTATTCGCGGCGCAGCGCGCGATACCCGGCGGCCTACCGACGTGAGCCGATTGTTTCCTAACCGTCGACGTTGGAAAATCATCGCGCGCGAGCGGGAAGCGGAATCATCGGTTGGATTTAATGAAAGTGAACCCGTCGGTGTGCTTTATCGCGTCTCGTTGATTTTGATCGCCGCGTGCAAATACACTCGGTTCCGCGTGCGTGCGGAGGAGCGCGTGTCGTAACAGCGAAACCCGCGCGGATTAACGCGAAATTGCGATAATAGAGCGTAGAAGAGGGGGGAGAGCCGGTCGGCGAGCTGGAAATTCGGGTAGTCGGACGTGCCGGCAGGACTTTTATGAAATCTTTAATCGGCTGCCAGGGTAAAAAGCTGATTGGCACGCGGCGCATGATTACTCGTAAAAATTCTCCTCTCCATGTTCGCGTACGCTTTCGCTGTGCGGTCACCGATCGATCGAGCTATGACGAATCGATCCTGCCCAGCGGCTTAAATCGAAAGGACGCAACGCAATTTCGTTCTTTTTTTCCTGTCTCGCGAAGCTTCGAGAGCGTTCGATCGTGTTTATTTTGTCTGCCCATTCCGCGGCGATTCTACTTGCAAGGAGCATTGACATTCGGGCAACGGTATTCTGTGTTTTGACTTTAAATGTGAAAGTACGCGTCCCTTTCAATGGAAAGTTTGATTGATTGTCTGATGAACGACAATTTTGCTTTTAGCGGATACTATGTAGATGGGGGCTCGACGCACGGGGTGTCCTGAAAATATAGCGATCGAAAATGCATCTGCGAGAAGACGAATTAGTGACGAAGTAGTGACTATATTTTCAGATATTAAACGAAATTGAAGATCTAGCGGTAGATATTTTTTTTGTGGAAATGACAAAGTAGTGACTATAGAGATGCTATAGAAGATACTATAGAAAATACTGTTTCGCGAATCGAAGCTTAGTTTTTCAGATATTAAACGAAATCGAAGATCTAACGGTAGATAATTCTTTTTTTGTGGAAATGACAGAGCAGCCACTATAGAGAAGTCGTGCTCTGTTTCCTTTTCTTTTTTCGCTGCAAGTATTATCAATCGATCGAACGTTTCCCGGCGTTCACGAGGCTCCGCGAACGCATCTTTCCATTTTCCATTTTCCAACGACGAATCGGCCGCTCTCGCGATGGCGCATTCAATACGCGCGTCATATTTACGGACTTCGCGAGGTCACTCAATCGCTCGCGAAATTTACGAGCGCACTTGACCCCGTTCGAACGAGGACGTCCGATCTGTCTTTCCTCGACTCATTGTCACTCATCGGCTTCAATTCCTCCACTCGAGGCCGTGAAAGTCTTAGCCTACGATCGTCGCAATATCGTTCGAGCAATAAATCGCGCGTAGAAACAATGAGAGGCCTCGCTTGGACGAACCGTGATGAAATTATCAATATAACGACAGCGATGATAGCAGTAATAGTATTAATAATCTATCGGTGACTATAATAATAACATTAATAACGTATTAATAATTTGTAATGGTAACATTGGTAGATATTTTTTTGCGAAGCGATCGAACGCATTTGTACATGTATCGTAGAGGAATTTTTATCAATGATAACGTTAACGATCGTGATTCAAAGTTGTGTCATTACGTCATAGATGAAAAGATGAATACGCAAACGCTCGAACATTCGAAAATACAGAAGCGAGTGCGATAATCTTCTAGCCTCATTTACGGAGCATCGTTAAATTATGCGTCGGTGGAAGTGTGGTTTCATTTTACATCCTACGATTAACGCGATCCATTGTTATGGAAATTTTATTCCTCTTTTGTGCTCTTCGTTAGAAACTGCATCTACATACTCGAGCGTGAATTAACAAGATCTTCGAGTTTCTCTCATTATTAGACCGCGCGTGTTTATGGAATCCGGGAATATTTAATTAACTTTAATAATACTCGAACATCGCCACTTATCAGCGCATAATCTAGCGCGGTAAGTTTCTATATCCGTCCACCAATTTTCACGGACGTGAAAACTCGTGTACCTAGTCGCGTTAATATCGACAACGGGTTCGTTATGGTTCTTGTCACGATTATGGGTCGCAGAAACGTCCTCCTCGATCAATGGAGCGCGAGCACCAATTAAACTTTCATCGGAACCTTTTGCACACGATTAGAGAATGTTTGACATTCGACATTCTTGACGGTGACAAATAAACGACACGCCCGGATACTTCATTTACTGAATTAATCAAACTTCATCGCCACAACCATCTAGATCTGAAAAAAAGCCGTAGATATTTCGCACCATGTTCCTGGAGCTGGTGCTTCTCGTGCTAAGGGTTAATTCGAAATCTTCCGCGAAAACGCCTTCGTAGTTTAAATACTTGTAAAAGAAAAATTCTAAAGTGGGTCAATTTGACCCGTTCGGTAGGTCCAGTGTTAAAGTCTGAATAGATGCACTATTTGAAGTTTCTACAGAGAAGTTTCAGTCGATTTCAGTAGTTCTAGCGTGAAACGTGAATTTTCTCGATGTTTGTTTTCTGGACTTAACACTAGAACTAACAGTCAACAGTCGAAATGACTGGCTCTGATCTTTTCGTTTCGCAGTTATTCATGTCGTAACCCTTTGCACTCCGAAGTTTTTCACTAGAAATATTTCAACATTTTCCGATGAGATGAAGACGATATTTTGTAAAACCAACTCGACCAAAAATTCACGCGAATTAACGGACAAAGCTATTTTACGTCAATATTTCTTAGATCGATGCATTATATGAAGTATAATATTAAATATCAACGTTTATAGCTTCACTATAGAAAATCAAGTGGTGACATTCGACATTCTTGACAGTACAAATAAACGACACGCCCAGATACTTCATTTACTGAATTAATCAAACTTCATCTCTTCAAAGTAATTCAAATAAACTTGAATCTTTAACAAAAGAAATCAGAAGAATTTCCCGGTATCGATGTAAAATCTGTACAAAATCTAGAACGGATCGGTATCGTCGACCAATTAAATTCTCAGTTCGTAAATCAATCGACAACCGCGCGAAAGAATTTTTGAACAAGATCGTCAACGATGAAAGTAGAGACGATCAGAGACGCTGGTCGCCGATCGATCCGATTTCCGAGTCACCCGGCGCGTTTCCTTCGGTTTTCCGGTCGACTCGTCGTCCCCCGTTTCCGTCTTCTTTTTCTCGTTGGCCGGGTGTCCCGCCTACGGGCGGCGAGAGGCCAAGTGTCTGACTCAGGCGCTCGCGCTGGAAATGGCTGTAAACGTGCTCGCAGCGCGTTGGCTAAGTGTAGAGTAAGTGTGGCAGTAGGATGCGAGGAACCGTTAGCTCGGCACCGGCTATTTTTATTATTATTGTCGTTGCGCTACACTTTAGCCGTGCCGCTCGAGAACGAAAGCTGCCGCGCCGCGCCGCGCCGCTGCGAGAAAGATCCGTCCAGCCTCGGACTGACCTATAAAGGCTGATCCGAGAGCCGTTCCGTGCTCCACCGAGTATCCCCAATTCGATCAGTCGCGAGTAAAGCCTCGCCCTAGGCGCTTTTATTCCGTCCACGTTCGGCTGACCCTAATTTCGTTGAAAAACTTCGACGACCGAGTCATCGGCGAAACGGATATTTTACGATAATCGAAAGAATGTATGTCGTTCCAGTCGTTTCGCCGTAAGAAAGGAATCTTGGACGGCTAAATAAAAAGTCAACGGTCGGTTCCTATCGAACCGGTGATGTAACGTATAACCGAAGCATCACCGTTGGAAGTTTCGATTTAAAATAATGATGATTATATGATAATTAAAATTCCATTCGATCTGTACTGGTAATAATAACATTATGCAAACAACGGTAACGATGATAACGTGACGTACGAAAAACTTAAAGCCGACTATTATACCGAGACACCGCAAGCTTCTCATTTCAATAACAAATGAACTCCGCCGATAAAACAGAAAATTTCATCTAGCCAGACCATCGCGGCGCTTTAATGACTCAGAAGCACGTAGAGATAATTCATACGCGAGAACGTAATGGTCATCCTGGTGCAATTCGAGCATCCGCAATAAACCGGGGCTGTTTCATCGCGTTCCAGAGCCACCATTGAAGGCAGTAGGTCGATGCCCATCCTTCGAGGAGCAGAACGTGTGTCCGGCGAGATCCCCGGCCTGCAAGAATGATTTCCAGTGTCAGGCGTCCGGCGAGCGTTGCTGCAAGACCGCCTGCGGTTTCAGATGCGTGGCCGGAGAGCTGACCGGATGCGAACAGCTGGCGCAGGCGGCTGTGAGGAGGTCGCGCGCCCTCGGCCCGCGCGGACCCTCGCAGTTCATACCGCGATGCGACAACGTGACCGGCGAGTTCGAGAGGGTGCAATGCGGCCCGGAAGGACACACCTGTTGGTGCGTCGACGACATCGGCGCCGAGGTGCCGGGGACCAGGGTCTCTTCCAGGAAAGATGTCGACTGTGATCATCCCAGGGAGTGTCCGGCTCATAGCTGCCGAATGTTGTGTCCTCTGGGCTTCGAGGTAATGGTCGGTCGAGGTTTCAACAGGTAGTTATTGAAATTTCGAATTACGAGGTTTCAACGGTTAGTCATTGAGATTTCGAATTACGAGGTTTCAACAGTTAGCTACTGAGATTTCGAGTTACGAGGTTTCAACGGTTGGCTATTGAGATTTCGAGTTACGAGGTTTCAACAGTTAGCTATTGAGATTTCCAATTACGAGGTCTCTACAGTTAGCTATTGAGATGGTTGCAACGAGATGAATCGTTTAGCTAAGTAATTAATCACGAAGAAACGTAGCGATTCATTTTGAATGGTTAATATCCCTTGAGAGTCAAGACAATCCAAACCTTAAATAGTCTTTCTCCATTTAGCGGACTAGATATTTTACTCTAGATCTAATTTGGAAATATGATAAATTAATAATTTGAAAATTTGAAAATTTGATAAATTGATTATTTGAAAATTTGATAAATGGATAATTTGAAAATTTGAAAATTCGATAAATTGATTATTTGAAAATTTGAAAATTTAAAAATTTGATAAATTGATGAATTGAGAATTTGATAAATTGGAAATTTGGAAGTTTGAATGTTTAAAAGTTTGGTAGTTTGGTAATTTGGAAGTTTGAAAATTTGCTAAATTGATAATTCTAAAATTTTTAAATGTTGGTCGAGTTAACTCGTAACTAACATAACTAATTTCGTCTCTCGCGAACATCAGTTGATCTTGGTGACAACGGGTTAACTGAGGTGAAGGGATGAAATTTCGAGGAAACCAAATGAAAAATATAGTCTGCCAAACTCTAAATAGTCCTTCTCTACTTAACGAACCAGATATTTTACCCTAGATCTTACCAGAATCTACGAGTCACGAAGTGAAAAGTGACGATGATTCTAAAGTACCTCTCTATATCGTTCCACTAACCAAATCTTCGATTTCACGTCTCCGCGAATGTCGTGGAATCGCTTATCTTGTCAGGCAGCAGACGATAATCCGAAGGTTCTCGTTAACAGATCGAGCCACGGACAGGCTGTCCTAAATGCGAGTGTCGCGACCCTTGTCGAGGGATCACCTGTCCGGGGACCAGTCAGACATGCGAGTTGACCGACGCGACATGCGTCCGTCCGCCATGTCCGCCGATCCCCAGCTGTCGCAAGGCGAAGTCCCTGTCCACGATCTGTCCGGCCGGCGAACCGTTGCAAATCACCGACTCGCCGCGGCCGTTCCTCTGCGGCGATTCGCCGGGCAAACCGACCTGTCCGCCTATGTACAGCTGCCTGGTGGAGCCGAAACAAGAGTACGGTGTCTGCTGCCCGTCCAGCATAAACCTGAAGAGACCGGGAACCTGTCCAATCGAGGAGCCAGCCATCTGCGGCAACTCCTGTCAGCACGATCTCGAATGTCCTGGGCCCCAGAAGTGCTGCGGCAGCGAGCGTTGCGGCGGCGGCGTGTGCACCGTTCCCCAGGGACTCAGCGCGTGCCACCGGGACCGAGTGCTCGCCGAGATGCTCAGCGTCACGGAGCGACAGGGGCGTGGATACGTTCCGCAGTGCACGGATGGTAAGATTCGAGCGTTGAAATTGTCGGGGGTTCGAAAATACGTGGGAAGACTCCCGGAGAATCTAGACACGGTAACGAAATGAAATCTGGCAAAATGAAACTAATTTAATTAAACTTCGGGTGATTCATCGTTTAAACGAGACCAAGTCGCGTTCTCCGTGGGGGATTGTTGTAGAGTAACCGATGAACTTGAATTTACCATGGAACGACGAAGGTTGTAATTAATATTTAATATGGTGAACCCTCTGACAAGTAATGGCGAGTGAAACAGTTTTTGATTCAATGGCGCGTTAGCGGGGGAAACCTCATTCATTGTTTCTTGTATGAGACCGTTCATGTGAATGACACACCATGCGAATGAATCGGCTTAAGGATGATGAACGCATATCGTGTTTTAGATGGAGGGTACGACCCGAGACAATGCTCGAGGAACGGTTTGGTCTGCTGGTGCGTGGATAATAATGGCAGGAAGATATCTGGTTCTATGGGACCGGCGGAGAAAGTCGATTGCAGGTCGATAACGAAGGGAAGGTCTCTTCCGGCTTCGTGTGTTTCGCAGCAGTGCGCTCAAGTCTGCCAGTACGGGTTTAAGACCGATGCTTCCGGCTGTCCCACTTGCGAGTGCGATAATCCTTGCGAAGGGTACATGTACAATCATAATTACTACAATACGGGATACGCTAATGAGAAGTAATCGACTAGTGTCGTAAAATTAAGTAGGAAAGATGGAACTGATGAATAAATGCGTCGAATCAATGGCCAGTATGTAGCGCTATGGGAACAAACCTTTTTAACGATAAGTTCTATTCTAACGAATGTAGATTCCGATGAAGAATAGTGGATTATACTTATTAGATCTAACGAGTGATCTCGAGTCGTTAACCTGTTCTAACGCGGCTCTTTTCCTCGACAGCTTTCCCTGTCCCGATAAGGAAGAATGCGTGTTGAGCAAAGAAGACGGTTGCCCAGATTTCCTCTGCCCAACGAAGCCAGAATGCAAGCCTAAGAAAGCTTACACGAGCCCCTGCGCCTACGGGACTCCATTGATCGACAACGAGCGCAATGCGGTCACTTGTTCCGAGAACGACACCTGTCCACAGGGTTACAGGTGCTCTGCCGTACCGGAAGCTGGCCAGTCAGTGTGCTGCATGGCGTCGGCGAACTCGACGAAGCCGCAAACCAGTAAGACACTTGTTACCTACTAGAAAAGAACTGCGAGTCCCACTTCCTCCGCGGATTAACATCGATCCGTATTTTTGAAGCAGTTCGGTCCACTTTCTAAAATAGACCTGTACCAAGCGAATTATTCAGTTTAGCGTCTACCATGGATTACCGTGTAGCTAACCATATATTATTGATAAATCGAACTCCCAAATTTGCCCGCAGCCAAGTTAGAATCGAGCAAAATTAAGGACTGTTAATATTACAGTGTGCGAGTATCTACGAGAATTCAACGACCGCATGGAAGGCACCAGGGAAGACATGTCCCTGGCGATTCAGGCTCCCCAATGCGAGAAGGACGGCAGCTACAAGCCCGTGCAGTGTCACAACGGCACCTGCTCCTGCGTCAACGACCGCGGAGTAATACTGAAGACCGGTGTGAACCGTAGCGCCGACTGCAAAGAAATAAAGGACCTGTTGAAACTCTGCGGATCTCTGACCTGCGACCTGGTCTGCCCATACGGCTACGAGGTGGACGCAACCGGATGCGAGCAGTGTCGCTGCCACGATCCCTGCAAAGACGTGTCCTGCTCCCCTCACGAAACCTGCACGATGGTAGACGTCAACTGCGGCTCAGGTCAATACTGCCCTGCAGTGCCAGCCTGCCTGGCAATGAAACCAGGCCAGTGTCCTTACCTAGTGCCCAGCTCGTCCAGCTGCGAGCTGCAGTGCAGCAACGATCAAGAGTGCTCTGCGTCGGAGAAGTGTTGCTCGACAGGCTGCGGAACGCAGTGCGTGGCTCCGGTGATGGCGACCGCTTGCCAGCACGCGAGAGCAGTGGCTGAACACGCTGCCAGAGAATCCGGCGAACCGGCCAGGCGGATCTACATTCCCAGGTGCGACGCGGGAGGAGCGTTCGAGCCGGTTCAGTGTCACAACGGGATGTGCTGGTGCGTGGACGAAGAAGGCAGAGAAGCGGCAGGCACTCGAGTCCTCGAAGGCGTGATCCCCAAGTGCAACACGCCGCACAGGTGTCCGGAGACCGACTGCAAGCTGGACTGCCCGGAGGGATTCGAGCTGGACCCGGACAGCGGATGCCCCACCTGCTCCTGCAGGGATCCTTGCAAAAGCGTGACTTGCAGAGGAGAGAACGAAGCTTGCAGAATGGTGGAGGTAGCTTGCAGCGTGCCCCCCTGTCCGCCTGTGCCAGTGTGCCTGCCGAAGAAGGACAATCCTTGTCCGAATGGCTCGCCGCTCTTGAATCAAGCCGGCTCGCCGGCGACCTGTGGCCCCCACGGGCAACATTGCCCGTCGACGCACAAATGCGAACTGTCCCCGTTGGACGAGTACGCCGTTTGTTGCCCGAAACCTCGGGAGGTTTGCTTCGAGCCGCCTAGGAAGGTTCTCTGCAACCCGACGATGGGATTCAACGAGACGGAGAGATGGTACTTCGATCCGGAGCGGAACGAGTGCAGAAAGAAGACCGAGTGCACGCTCGGGCACAACGACTTCACCAGTCGGCTGGTTTGCGACACTGTTTGCCCGGTGCTGTCGCAGTGCGAGAGGCTGAGGGAGAAGAATCTGAAGACCTCCCAGAGGCTGAAGCAGCCGACCTTCTTGCCCAGGTGCGACCCGGAAACCGGCATGTGGGAGTCGGTGCAGTGCCTGGAGCACGTCGGCGTATGCTGGTGCGTCAACAGGAAGGGTCAGCCGGTGAAAGGTTCGTTGACTAGGGGGCCGGAGCCTAAGTGTAACTTCAGGCAGGCGAGGAGAGGCGGCAGGGGTCCGGCGGTTCAAGAGATCGACCGCGAGATCCAGGCGTTCATGGAGAACGCTCTGATCAGTTTGGAGACCGACGAGAAGCAGATTGGCAAGGTGTTGGGCACCAGGTGCCAGGCGATGAAGGATAAAGGGTACGTGCCTGCCATCTGCGATCGCCAGGGAAGATTCGAGCCGACTCAGTGTGCCGGCGACACGTGTTGGTGCGTCGACGAGGCTGGCAACCAGCTGATCGGCTCTGAACCGTTCCTCAAAGGCACCAATATCTGCTGTAAGTTGTATCCTTGGTCTTGACGATATGAAGTGCCACTTCAAGTGACACTTTGACGGTTGACACGTTGAATGCACGATTCCCCGTAGCAAAATACGTAGAATGGGAAGAATGTAATATCAAATTATTTTATCCCATCGTTTCATTATCATGTTTATCTTGCCGAATGTCGTCGCAGTAAGCGTTATATGTAATATAAAAACATTTGCAAATAATCTTCGTTTAATTGACTGAATTGTAATTCGATTTGGCCGAGCCACCGGCGACCTCCATGGCATTCAACGTGTTATTGATTAGGCTTCGAAATTTAAATTCAAATGCAGTTTTCGAAATTTACATTTAAATGTCTGTTTTCTATGCACATTTCAGTACCGACCCCAGTGGAAGCTGTCGAAGTGACCTTGCATTTCCCCGGTCGATTTCTCGCCAACGACGAGACCACCTTCGTCAGACACGCGGAGGACTTTCTCCACGAATTGGGGGCCAGATTAAGGAACGACATACGAGTGGAGATCAACCAAGACTCGGCTGTGCTCAGTTTCGAGATAATCGGCCCGAACAAAGTGGACATAGCGTTCCACTTGGAGGAGTTGACCAGAATCCAGAAATTGTCGGTGCTGGGATCGTTCGCGGACGCGACCAAGTCACGGTTCACCCACAGAGCGACGCCGATCGCCATGCAGAGTCGAATCGTCGCGTTGGAGCAACGGGAAATCTTGACGGAAGTGGATACGCCCGTTTATCAGACGGCAACATTGGTTTTAGCGGCGGGAAGTGCTTTCATAATCAGCAGCCTGCTAATACTGTTGATGTTGTACCGCAAAAAGGTAAATATACGCTTCCTCGGGAAATAATCGTGTACAGATTGTTTCGTAACGAGGGAAAAATTTTTAAAAACTCTCGATTCATCTACTCTCATTTCTAGAGGACAACTGTAAATTCGAAATTAACCTCGAATTTGAAATGTAATTATTACACTAGATTCACCGGTGTTTTTGACCCACTTCGAACTTTGCGAAGGAAATTACAGACACCGTTCACATTGTTTTTCTGCCACGTGTACTGACTTTTATCCATGCATCTCATAGTTTCATTTATAAAATCATTGTGCATAATTATCTCGTTTCTAAAGTTTCGTACGGGTCAAATTGATTCCTGTGAAGATAGATAAATAAGAAATGTCGGTAAACCCTGTGTTAAATTTGAAATTGGTTTATCCCGAGAATTATGAAACGCTCTGTACAGCGGAATAACGTATGACGCAACGAAGATAACGGTTTATTGAATTTCCGTTTACAGATAAAAATGAAGGACCCAACGAAACTGTTGGCGTCGGACCAGCATTTCCTTGCGTACCAGCAACCAGTCTATGTGATATCGGGGGTGGAGCAGGAGGACAAGAAGAAGGAGACGGCCGAGGTGCAGGAGAGCACGTCCACGTCGGACGTGATCGGCGCATAAGAACGATCCGCGGACAGGATCCTTCGCGCGCGAATCGTTCTTAGCCCGTGCCCGAATATAGTCACAATTAGACTGCGGATGTTTACGGGAATTCACGTTCTCTCGCTGGAATCGAGCTCATTCTACGGAGAACCGTTTCCAAAGAACAGACGGGAGATATCTCGATCGAACTGTCATCCCTGAAAATCGAATTAGACCAATCCCTTCCGACACGTCTTCCGTGTTCCCGATTAATTCGAACTGCTTTTCCAGAATACGCTGAGACGCTTCACGTTGAACGCGACCTCAACTAACTCGATTCTCCCCGAATCCTACGCGATAGATACTTTGATCAAAAACTGGTTGAGTTAATATAGATCAACTTAAAACTGAAGTAAAACCTGATTCCTAGTAGTATGCTTTCTTGTCGCTATTCACTATCAGCTAAGATGAACTTCTCAACGCTTCACCTCCTAGTATATACTGCGTTCAGTTCGGTCGGGAAACACGATCGCTCGTTTCGAACATTTTCATTCTATCCGACGCTACTCCCTGTAAATTCGCATTCGCCGCGCGTGCATGTAAACGTCCGCAGTCTAGTCATAATCGAAGTCACCGCCCGCACAACTCCACCTCTCTCATATCGAGTGAAATATTTATTCTTTGATCACGAGGCGCGTCGCGATTGCTCGAATCGACGGTCGACCGAACGGGTTCGCAAGCGGTACCTCCTTCCGTGAAGCAAGGAAAAATGGAACAGATCGGTGATGAGCAACACGCGGACCTTCAATTGTTTTACTCGCGCTCCGTCGAATGGCCGAAGACGAAAAATTCCCATTAGAATGTAACTCATAATCTCCATTCTATACAAATCATAATCTTCCACACCACTACGTCTAAGTATCTAATTGTTAAGTGCTTAACACTCGAACCACCGAGTAGTCGAACCAATATTTCTAATTCTCTTCTACGAATCGTGGAAGTAGATTTATTCAAATTCCGATCGATCTATATCTCACTGTACGCGTTCAATGTCGATTTACTTGGGAATTCCTGAAGAAATCGTTCGTATCATTCGAATAATTGCGAACGAAGGAATTCAGAGTGAGGTTCAGTTTGATGCATTCGGTAGTTCTAGTGTTAATATCGCGCTCGTAGCCAGCCGCGTGGAATACAAAGTTTCCAATTTCGACCCGATACGAAACGAAGGTTGCTCACCATTGAAATAAACGATTCTCACGTCGAATACCGGACGCGTCTCGCGAATCCGTCGAATCCACGGTACAGGATGTACATACTTGTGATACTTTAGGGGGGAACTGGGGGGAGGGGAACGGGAGGGAGGGCGTTCGGTGAAACGTAAAAGGATTCGGTCGATCGCCGAGAATGTAGTTCTTTATTTAGAACGATCGGATTTTCTCGCGGGTTTCTACCGGTTCTCCGTCTGTGTGTGTGAGTACCTACGTCGGAGCACCACCAACGCAAAAATGTCCTGGCGCGGCGGCGTGACGCGGGGATATCGTTGCGTTGATCGTATCGTGGGTGTAAATACTAGATACATACTATGTTCGTTTATTTATATAGCTCAATAAAGACGAGAAATTCCTCTATACGTCGACACCCTGTTATTTCCCGCGGAGAATTCGCTTCACCGTTACCCGTCAAGCGCAAATCCTGATCACGCCAGAAAATAATTAATGCATCCCGCAAGCGGACCGTGAAACTTTGAAAACCCGTTCCCAGCGGACCTTAACTCCGAACGTCGTCGATCCC